GCTGCCGCCACAGAAGGGAGGGCGGAGGCTCCGGCGGTCCTCACGTGGGCGCTGCCCGAGCCAACCCTTAGAGGATGTAAGTACACGGATCTCACGGTCTACCTCCTGAGTCATTCAGACTAGCTACGCTTAGCGAAACGTTGCTCATGAGAAACAAAAGGACGTTTTATCTTAGACGTTGGTTACGTTTATATATGTCATTGGGTTTGTACTAGCGGTATGGCAGCTCATAGGTAATGATATAACTTTAATGAATTTGCCAAAAAGTAAAGATTCTACTCTATGTCATCCAAATAAACACTGCCTGGCTTTGTGTCATTAAATGAAAGCAGAAGTAGGAGGGAGTGTGTGTGTTTGTTTGTGTGTTTGTTTGTTAAGCAAGATCAGTTCCAAACTGACTTATAAGTTTAAGTATTTTATCATCTTCAAATAGATCATCTCTTCATGTTGCTGCTATTCATTTGTGGTCCACGTTTGTTTTGTTAGCATATATTATGTGTAAAAATGAATCTCACTGTGAGGTTCTCACTTAGGTAATGTACTTGGAGCATACTGGCCCATCATCCTCTCTCATTCTCTTCCCACTCCTGCTGAACCCTTCTTCTCAGACTATGCCCATCCACTTCTGTGTCGTTTGTGTGTGAAAACCAGAGTTTAAATAGGGTGCTGACGGGAGGGGCAATTTACCAGAGGGTACACTGCTGAAGCCAATGGGCCAACCCCAAACCCCGCTGCCCTGCTATCATTGATCGCCTCTACCTACTTGGGGAGGATGTCTTGTTTCATTGAGACACCGTTGTGCTATATGACTATTCTAGAACAGTCTTGAACTCATGATCTTCCTGCCTCTGTCCCAAAGTTAGAGATTTCAGGCATGTGTCACCACACCGAGCTCTATATTATTTAAATGGCCTTATTAATATAGTTAACTATGTTTTAAAATTATGTTGTGTGAAGTATAAATTATCAATGATAGTTGATAGGAACTAAGTAGATGATAACTAAGAAAAAAATCGATGTTGATAATTCTTAATTCATTCTCAAACTAAAATACCTACTATCCAAGTCAATCATATGAATACTTTTATAATTTCATGTTAGTATGTATACAAACTTACATACACTGGACTTTGCGTCATGGAACCTAAATTATGTTGAATCCAAGCAGAAAATATAAAATTTCTACTTGCTTGGTAATAATAAAGGTTTGTCTTTTTTATTATAATAATAATGGGATTTGATATTTCAAGAAAGCATAGATGTTTCTAATATCAAAGAGCTTTCTAGAGTGGAAAAGCAGAAGCGAAAGGCAGTGTTCATGCAACCATCTGTCTTCCACACTTCCCAGGATGTGTGAGGTGAGATGCATTCAGGAAGGCGCTAAAGTGTGTGCCTTGCGAAGGGGAAATTCACATTTGAGCCGGGTTGAGTGTTCCCGTATTAGGTGCCTTTGTTGGTGGTACTACTCAGCATTACCATGATAATTTTTCTTTCTTTATCGTGTGTTAGGATATCAAAGAAAAGAGTTATTGTTATTTAAGGCCACATTTAAATCTAGCTGCTTCTTAAAGTGGAGTGTTGGTGGTATAATTTAAACCAGCGGGAAATAAATCTCTAGGAGAGCTGGCTCAGTCAGTGAAGAAGTGCTGTGTAAGGTTGAGGACATGAATTCAGACCTCCAAGCACCCACGGCATAAACCATGTAGTGGCACACACCCGTAACCCCAACACTGGTGGCAGAGACAGGAAAGGTCCCTGAAGCTCACTGATCAGCCATCTCGGCTTCAGTGAAAGATCTGTCTCAAAAAACAAGTGGAGAGCAATCAAGAAAAATAGCAGCCAACACCTGCACACACACACACACACACACACACACACACACACCACACTACACACACATCCACATCACTCACAGCACACCATACATGCATGCACACATTACACACAGCACAGCACATACATCCAGCACACACTCAGATTCAGGATGTGTGTGGGAACTCAAACCTCAGATCTTAACGAACAGCTACACAAGGGAAGACAAATACGTTCAAATTGTGCCTGGCAACTGTGCCCTGGGCACCACTCAGTAAGAATCTGCTGATTCAGCAAGGGTTCGGCTCACAAAGTGCATGTCTTCCTACTGCTGCCCTGATCAGTTGAGACAGAATTAGCACTAGCTAAGTCGTGTGTGTGCCTTGGGAGGGGTTTGCTGAGGGTAAGCGTCTGAAGGCAGGGATTAAGGCATCTTCATCCTGCTAATGTGCTGGCCATCCAGGATTAGAGCTGTGGGTCAGGGAAATCCACCCAAGTGCAGACCTCAGCACAGAGCACTTTCTGCTCTGAGATTAGCAGGCACGCTCTGCACCACCTGCTCTACAGCGCCACTCGGGAGCTTCAGCCGCCAGAGCAGAGCTACCTGGCTCACAGTCTGTCGGCACCTGTGCAAAAGAAGAGGAATACCCAGAAGACACAGAGGTTAACATTGAAAAGTTCCTAGGTTGACCATGGAGCTCAGTGCCCTTCAGTGCTGGGGTGTGGACAACATGGATTTGAACTCTCCAGCATCTACCTGGGGAGTAAAGGGACCCTCAGAGCCTTTCCTTGAAAATGTTCTGGCTGTATTTGCTTTACGGTATCACTTGACTCGGAGCAGTGCAAGGATTCTGTGAGCTGGCATAATGGAGGTTATATGGTGGTTATATTTTCACAAAAACTCATAGTCTACAAACCGAGAGTGAATGAACTCTCTGTAGACTACGAACTCTGTTGGTTTGGACAATTTGAGTCATACACATGGTACGAGGAGTCTGATGAGAGTCTTTTTGTGTGATTATTGTGTTATTACTTATATCTGATGTGTGTGTGAGTGCAGGCACATGAATGCTACAGCGCACATGTGAAGGTCAGCAGAAAACCTGAGGGGGCCAGTTACAGAAACACATTAGAAATAACAAATCAAAAGGAACCTTAAAAGCATGGAAACCAAGGGGGAGTGGTTCTGAGGACGTGGCGAGTTGGAGGAGCAGGGAGGAGTGGCAGGAGGGGAAATTGGACTGTATTGTACGAGAGAAGAATCTATTTTCAACTGAAAGATAAGTAAACAGCCAAAGCCAGTGACGGGCAACCCATGTATTTGAACTTCCCATACAATCAGATTTATATCTGAAAAAGAAATTAAAGAAGAGACTGCATCAATAAACACTGTTACATTTCTATTTTTCAGATCATACAAATAAACTCATAGCTATTTTTTGAAAAATCAAACCAAATGACACACAAGAAAGAAAAAAAAATGAAAAAGAAATAACAATTTCTCCATAGAAATCAGAGAATTGTCTGGTTTTCTTTTCTTTTTTCTTATCATGATGGGGATTCAATCCAGGGCTCATGCATGCTGAGGAAATCCCACTCATTTCCTTTTTTGCCTCAGATTTTTAAGATAACAATTGAGAATGAAAGAGAACCAGAAAAAACACCCTTTAACTGGTACTGTTTAATATTTAAAATTATTCCAAGAATACTAACAGTTAATAAGAAACTATAAGGCAGCCAGCATCCCCTTAACAGCAGTTTCTCTCTGATCAGTGGGTGCTGAAGGTAATGTAAGCGGGCATGTGTTTATATACACATGAACATAATGTGGTCCCTTGTTCTAATTAAGCCATCTCAGACAATCAGTCCACAGCCACCCTAATTAGATACTGTTTTAGCCGTTAAGAGGATTCTTTCTCCTCATTTTCTGTTTTAATCTTATCAACTATATAAGAATATTTCTGCAAAGACTGAACATATGGATGGGTTTATGCGTTTCCACCTCTGGAAACAGTAAGTGTGTAAACAACTTGAAAGAAGAAAGCTGGTGTCCCTGGACTCTTACAGGGCTGGCTGTTATTATTGCTGGTGACGTTGTGTGGCATTGCCTTGTGGGCTGTGACAAATTCCAGGAGTGCGTTTATAAAATGAGTTCCACAGATACTATCAGGCACTTCCTTGGGGGGGGGGGGGCTGTATAATCTTTCCAAATGTTCTGAAAGTACAAAGAGGTTATTGTAGGGGCTCTTTTTTTTTTTTTTTTTTTTTTTTTTTTGGCTACTTTACTGGGTTCTTACATTTTTACCCTTCTCCACCCTAATCCCTTCCAACCCCCAATACTAGGAAGGCAAGAAAAAAGATTAGAGGTGGAAGGGGGCCTAGACCTTCCTAGACTACTTCCTGCTGATCAGGGGTGTTGGGTTCCTTGGGGCAAGTTTGACCTTCACAGTCAGGATATTCAATTTTTTCTTCTCATCTCTCTGCACATGACTACTTGACAAACCGCAACAGACTGCAACCAGCCAACAGCAGCCACAACAGCCACAACAGCAGGGGGCGGGGAGCAGCAGCCTCTCTTCGGAGCCCCCCAGACCCCTCTCAGGGCTCAGAAATTAATCCTCTTTGAAAAGGTCCCAGAATTCCACAGAACTTCACACATCTGTAGCTAGCAAAACCATGCCCCTGCACGAGAACATGAGACAAATTATAGTCACCTGCTGTGAAGCAGCTGTGGACAGTCTAAAGCAGCCCCATATCCCACACCTGGGATTAAAAACAAAAACATATTCACATACCGTAACTGGGTTTTTTAAGAAACCAAAATTCTCACTACAGGTTATCAGTATGTTTAAGAAGGGTTCCAGTCCTTCTCAAAAGTGCAGGAATGAAGATCAGAGTTCAGTCCCAGAACCAAACCAAAACAGATGTAACAGTGTGTGATTATGGTCCACGCTCTGGAAAGGCAAAGACAGGAGGCTCCCTAGACTTCACTGGCTAGCCTCAGGTCCCCAGGACACAAGGTGGACAGCTCTTGAGGAACAGCATCCAAGAATGACCTTTGGTCTACACATACTTTGCCTACATGGGTGTACACATATGCACGCACACAGGAAGATATTTTCCAGTAGGTTGTTTGTTAATGCCCCTATCTGCTTCTCTTTAGAACTCTACCAGGGTCAGGAGATCGAATGACAAACCCAGTGATGTCTACGAACCCTCTCTTGACAACGTCAGGACAGCAGAGGATCCCATTGGTTCCTTCACCATTTGGGCCTCCAGTTGTGGACAGGTATTCCATCATTGGAGTTTGGAATGATGTTAAATTAACATTTGATGGTCAAACAGCGTTGGGGTTACCTCAGTGAACTGTGGTACGATGACTCATGGCTCTCTGCTGGTCTTACCTAAGACACTACTTTCCCTTTGAAGCTCGTTTGTCCTACCAACTCATTAAGTAATCACATTTACTTGGAATGTGACAGGAATTATCAAGGGCAAAAACTGCTAGGTTAGTCTTCCGAGGCAACCACAGTAAAACACAGAGGACAATACCGTTTAAATCATAGACGTTCAGGGCTAGAGCGATGGCTCAGTGGTGAAAAGCACTGGCTGCTCTTTCCAGAGGACCAGGTTCAATTCCCAGCACTCACGTGGTGACTCACAAACGTCACGCCAGTGCCAGGGATCCAACACCCTATTCTGGCCTTCCTGGCACTGCCCATACATGGGGCACAGACATACATTAGGCTGAAATATCCATACGCATACTTTCTATAGCAAAGATAAAAAATAAACGCTATTTAGGTCTCCAATTCTGGAAACCAAAATTATGTCCAAAATTATGGTCCTGCCCAGTTAGTTTCTGGTGAGTCCTCCTTCCTGGCTTGTAGATGCTGTTTCCTTACCATGTCCTCACATGGCCTGTCCTCTATGTGTACATGCAGGGTACCCTCCTTCTGCATATGTAAGGTGCCTCCAGCATCTGCCCCTCTAATCAAAATAGAGTCCATCCTATCAGATTAAGACTCCATCTTAACTAAGTCCGTAACATCTGGACCCCTGGACTGCATGTCATCAAGCCATTCTTTCCATAGTAGTGAAATCATAAGTATTTTGGTAGCACATTCTGGCAATATTCTAGTTTCCCTTCTTTAGAATATTTTGACACTCTGAAAGGAAAATAAAACATACTATTTGTCCTTGTTCATGGAATGTGAACAACAAAAATGGACTCAGAAAGAACGCTGTGACTTGCAAGATAAACTAGTGGCCCAGTGAGGTGGCCAAGCGTTTATCCTAGATGGCAAATGCCACCAAGGAATCATGAAGTAAGAACAGTCTGTGTGTGTTCAGAGCATAACACCCATTGGAAATATCCTGATCATGCATTGCCTTGATGGGGTCGTTCCCTGAGATATTCCTCAGACGTCTTGCTTGCTGTGGCTTTTCTTCCTAGTCTTTCTCGCCATCCTTCTCCATAATCAGTGAGACTTCATTTTATTATTTCGTTTGCACTTTAGTTTCCATGGCTTCCCAGTGGCTATTAAAAGTCTAGTTAGCTAAGTGGGTAGTTACTTTTGTATTGCTATGACCACAATACCTGACAGAAAGCTTATTTTGGCTCACACTTCCAGAGGATTCTGTCCGTCACAGCAGGGAAGGCGGACCACAGCAGAGAATTAATTCACATCGTGCTGGGCCAGAAAAGGGAGGGTGCTGCCTCCTGCTCACTTTCCCCTCCGATTTCATCAGATTCCCATAGGACCGCAGCTGCATCTTCTGCCCTAAGTAACCGTCATGAACATGTAAAGTGTGCCTCCAGTCTCTAGATGATCATCACACTAAGCAACAGAGACTTTCTGTTATCCCAGACATATTCTACCTATTTTATGTCTTTTTTTTTTTCTCCCTCCCAGAGATGTCTTGTCTTCCAGTATGGCTCCAACTGACCCAAGCCAGTTTTGTGTTCCTTCCCAATTTGGATCGACTGTTCTCCCAAACACAAATATGCCAAACCCGCTGTCGAGTCACTTCTACTCAGGTATGAGCGACGAGCATCTGGCAGTTTGCGGAGCTGTGTGATCATGGCTGTACTAAACGTGTTGTCCTTTCGATGCTCACTCTGAAGAACCGGGGGGGGGGGGGGGGGGGGTTAGGCCTCTGCAGTTTGTGCCTGTGCTTTCTTGGTCGAGCTTCTGTAGCTACCCCTGTGCAAGCAAGCATGCATTGCTTAACTCTTCCAGGCATCAGTTTAATCGTGAATGAGGGAAGATTTGCAGCATGACTCGTTTGTCTTATCTGCCACATGAGGAATGGAAAGTCTTCAAAGAGAACTGATCTAAGAGTTAACTTCTTGGGGCAGTTTATGACTTGGGATGAGGGTATAGTACAGCTCTGTGATAGAACACCTGATTAGCATGCATGAGGACCTGGATTCAAGTCTCAGAACCCCAGACCAAACCAAACCAATGAAATAGCATACAGTCTCATAAGCTATAGTGAGAATTTGGCTTTTATTCTGATTTCACCCTGGAGATGTTTAATACAAATAGTAGTCACAATTTATAATAATGTGTTACATTCTTAAAAAATGCTGATGGATTTCAAATGTCTACACCATAAAAATAATAAAGATATAACATGGTGGATATGTTAATTATCTTGATTTAACCATTCTTCCAATGTAAGCATGTATCAAAACATTGCATTGTACCTTAGAAATGCATGTAATTAAACAGGACAAGAAAAGACAGTTCAAACTGAGGGTTCCAGGCTTGGCAGCAAGCACCCTGATTTACTGAGCCATCCCAGGACCCCCCAGAAATATGATTTTAACAGGCCTTTGCCTTCCTTTCTGAAGTGTAACAGGAAAATGCTGCCAGCCACAAAACTGACAATTCAAACAAAAAACAAAACCTGAAATGTTATCTGCTGTGATCTAGTGGTGTTTTTTGGGTTCTCAGTAAACATTTCTAGCCACTATGATCAGATACCATTTCCCACATACCATTCTAACTTAGGGCTTTCTGCTTTCTGAATTCTTTTATTATTTTCTTTTTTTTTTATCTGTCTTTTTTTTTAATGTATATGAGTGCTCTATCTGAACGTACATTCCATGTCAGAAGGCATCAGATCACATTATAGATGGTTGTGAGCCACCAGGTGGTTGCTGGGAAGTGAACTCAGGACCTCTGGAAGGACAGACAGCACTCTTAACCTCCGAGCCATCTCTCCAGCCCTCTTATTATTTTCAAGTGCATGCTTATACTTCTAATTTGTTTGTGATGAGTCTCTCTCTCTCTCTCTCTCTCTCAAGGATGGGGCATCTTACCGCCTGAACCCATAAAGTCAATGACCACAAGGAATGAGATGATTGAAAGACATCACACCGCCAGGTAATTTAACAATAGTGTTTGATTTGTTTGATTTGGCTCAGATGAACCATTTGTTCATCTGAGTTTGCTTTAAGTAAATTCAATGAATACATACAAATATAATAGATTACCATAATGGATTTTACAAAGAACACATGCCACCTACAAATCACACACACACACACACACACACACACACACACACACACACTGACCATTTAAAGAAAGCATTTCAGATTCATTATAGGATAAATTATACAAACATGTATACAAGCATTTTAATAATAAAAAGAAGATTAAAAGCAGACAGTGAAATCTGAGGATTTAAAAGTTTAGTAGGAATGTTTGGTGAACAAACAATAGCACTTGAGGTCAGATCGTTGGCACCCACGTACAAAGCTGGGTGTGGCCACACATGCTTTTAATCCCACAGATGGAGACAGGGATCAGCAACAGGAGGTTCACTGGGGCTTGCTGTCTAGCCAGCCTAGCCAAAAGTGGGTGAGCAGTGGGTTAAGTAAAGGACGGACCTTGAGGGATAGAGAGAAATATCAAAAGACACCTGAGGTCCTCCTATAGTCTCCGCATGTATGTGCACAGGCACACAGCACTTGTGTCTACCTCCCTACAGCCACAAAGTGCAGGTAGGTGTGGATAGACCTGCATATTCAACAGCTTTCCATTGACCAATAATAGTAATAATAAAGCCTGGCTGTGAATCCTCTGAGATTCCCACTGGCATGTCTGTCCTAACTGGTTTCAGTCCTCCTAGAGACAGGCGTGACTCCCATTCCACTTCAGAGTTTGTCACCAGGGCCCGGGAAATCTCATCTCGACCCGACAGTGACCTCCGGCTGAGCGCCCAGCAGCAAATCAAGTACATCCACCGGAAATAGGGTTTGACCTCAGAGAGAGTGAAGACATTGGCTCGGGTTCTCTCGTCACACACCTCTCAGGGTCTGGGTGATGCTGGTGGGTAAATTGAAGTAAGCAAAAGCAGCACTCCCTTTCTTGACTGTCCATCCACATGCACTGACTTGAGACCCACCAAGACAAGCACTAATTTAGTGAGTCCCACTAACTATCCCTGTGCTGAAGAATTAAACACCTCTTTGAAGGTTAACATCTGGAAAGAAACTGCTAAAGGTGCTGTGTGCCCAACAGGCAGCTGTCTGAATTCAGACATGCATTATGGCACTCACCCAAACCCTCCATTTTCAGGTTTTCTTCCTAAGACCACTTTCCTTCTAACTCTGGGCAGGGGGGTCCTCTTTCCACCAAACACTCTTCAGTTAAACAGTATAAGAATAGGGAAAGCAAAGAGGTTGGCTTAGGAAAGCAGGGTTCTATTAAAATCCTATTTCTGAGAGGCCCAGATGGCTCAGCAAATCAAGGTGCTTACTGCCAAGGCTGGCAACGTGAGTTTGATCCCAGGCACCTACACGGTGGAAGGAGAAACCAACTCACGTTTTCCTCCGACCTCCACACTCTCACACATACACACACCCCTTCACACACAAAATAAATACAAATAAATAAACAAATGTTTAAAAAAAATAGATTTCTACTGATTGTCCAATGGTTGTATAAACTATATAATTTTGTTTTTAGGGCAGAAATGGAAATGTATTCTCTTTACCAGCAACGGAGAATGGAACGAGTTAATCCCAGGGGGCTCTCTGGCCTGGGGATACCACTCTTTTATGGCTCAAGTTGCCTGGGTGGCTCCGCAGGCTTCCAAGGCAGGAGCCCGTTGCCTGCCAGTGATCTGCATTTGCACAGAAGCACCTTCAGACACCTTCAGGGAAGCCCTATTCTGCTGGCAACTAGACCACACTTTACAGAGTGCTGGGGCCAGAAATACCGACTCAGGAGAGGTCCAGTTTACCAGAAACCTCCAGAGAGTGATACTGAGAGTTTCAAAAGTCAAGGAGAAGAAAAGGGCTTGGGCCAGATGCCTGCGGTTTCCTGTGAAGAGGAAGAGTACATCAAAGATCCAGAAATTGAAGTAGACAACCACCAGAAGCCAAGGGAATCTGATGAAAAGCTGACCACAGCCCTCACCAACCCCTGCGGAGAGCTCCAGCCAAACCAGAGAAAACCCTCTTCCCTGGAGGCGAAAGCATGGGATGGGGAGAAGGAAAAGCCCTCTGAACAGGGCTATGAAGCCTGGGATGAAAAGAACAGGGTTTGCCTGCCAATTTCCACACTGCCTCTGTCAGGTGGGTGAGCTGAAGCTCCCGGCCTCAGTAGCTCTGGGGTGACCCATCCTTCCCATTGTGGAGGGAGCTGTGACAGCCATGTTTAGTTTGGCCTTCATTCTCATGTTCAGGTCCTATGTCTATCTCTCTCACATCTCCACACACACACACACACACACACACACACACACACACACACACACACA